CATCAGTATAAACTCATGACAGTGATAGAATTTACAACACATGAGGAGATCACATATAATCTCATCATAGTGGTAGAGTTTACAACACATAAGGAAATCACATCAGATAACACAATCATACAATACTGGGAATCATGCCCTAGCCAAGGTGCTACACACATTTTTGGGGGGACACAATTCAATCCATGAAAGTCATCAAGCTGATTTCAACTCATGGAGACCCCATGTGTATCAAAGTAGCACTGCACACCATGGAGCTTTCAATGCTGATTTTTTTGGAAGTAGATCACCAGGGTTTTCTTCCCAGGCACCTCTGGGTAGACTCAAACTGCCAACCTTTCAGTAAAGTGTATTAACCATTTGCACCATCTGGGAACTCCAAAACAGCCATCCCCCCACCCGTAAAAAAATATGACCAAACCCATTGCCATTGAGTCAATTCCAACTCATAGCAACCCTATAAAACAGAGTAGAACTGCCCCATAGGGTTTCCAAGGCTATAAATCTTTACAGAAGCAGACTGCCACATCTTTCTCTTGCTGAGCAGCTGGTGAGTTCAAACCGCCAACCTTTCTTTCAGTTAACAGCTGAGTGTTTAACCACTGTGCTACCAGGGCTCCTCAAAACAGCTGTAGACAATAGTAAATGTATGGGTATGGCTATGTTCCAGTAAAACTACTAAATAGGCTGTGGGCTGAATTTGGCCCACGGGCCATAGTTTGCCAACCCCTGCTCTTAACCAGTTATATGACTTTTTTTACTTCAGTACTTCCCCTATTATGATGAATTTTTTTAATCATTCCAAACCATAAGTTTTAGTCATTTCTTAGATTGGAAGAACATACAAATATTTAATATCAGTGAAAAATCTCATTGACTTTACAGGACTGAAATGAGTTTATGAAGCCCTGGTGGCACAATGATTAAGCGCTCAGCTGCTAACCAGAAGGTTGGCAGTTTGATCCCACCCAGTGGTTGCACAGGAGAAAGACCTGGTTATCAGCTCCTGTAAAGAATAGTCTAGGAAACCCTGTCCTATAGGGCCACTGTGAGTCAAAATTGACTCTACAGCACGTAACAGCAGTCTTTGTGTATTAGCTTTTAGTGTAAGAGAGAAGCACTGGTGGGAACAGTTGTGTGGCTGTGAAGAAGGGAGTGTGGCTGGGGCAAAAGACCAGATGATATCGGTCCCAGATTGAACTTGGGAACAGTGTCTAAGGTTGTCTCTGGCCTTTGCAGGCTCAAAACGTGACTTGTTAGTAAACCAAAAGAGAAGCTGTAGCTCTCAGGGATAGATCTAGATGGACTGAATTCACAAGAGAGGGATGTGATATAAGCCAAAAATCAGTTCGTAAATTTACAGTGAGAAATTTAGCCCTTCAAAGAACTAGGTCGTGGTTATGCTCCACATACCATACGGACGGGTTGAATCCTCTAGCCACAGTGTGCATGGTGTTTATAGATAGCTAACTCTTCTTGTTTAGCTTCTCAAATTTCTTCATTTTAGATATGTTAGCATTGTCACTTAAGGTGCAGATATTACTTGTTCTGGCCCTGGAGCCATATCACTTCTTTAAAGTGACTGATGTTACTGATTCTGTTTGAGTTTATGGTTCAAGTCGCAGAGTTGGATGGAATGGGATGGAGCGGGCTCATATAATCTGTATCACCTGCAAT